AGAGAGGGAGAGAGAGGGAGAGAGAGGGGGGGGGAGAGAGAGAGAGAGAGAGAGAGAGAGAGAGAGAGAGAGAGAGAGAGAGAGTACTTGTTGAATCAATAACATCATAAAATTATTAGGACAATTAATGGTTTACACGTATATACACATGTACAAATTGACAAATGTTTGCTATGAAAATTATGATGTAAGTAAAGCATGTAATATCTGTAATATATGTGTATATGTACAAGATCTATATGATTCTACATACCAGGGTAGTTTTCTTTGTGTGCAGGTAAAGTTAGTGGCGACTACATGTTCTATTTGATGTATATGTATATATCTATCACATATATCCAATGTATTTGTGAGTAAAACGCATCTGATGAATGTTTACGAGCGATCTTGTAAACGAGCTCATGAGTATTGAATTTTCGATGTTAGAAATCAAGCCGGAAATCACATTGGATAAAACGACATAATTGCATCTTACTCTTATTAGAGGAATAAAAAAACACATTAATATTGAGTGAGTTCAAGTCGGTAAAGCGGCTAGATCTGCTCGCCAAGCAATTAAATATGATTGATTGAATCCACAGGTAAGAACCAGTCAAGCTCATTTCGCATTCTCTCCGCGAGCATGCAGCCTAACTTTTGCTGACTTGAACTTGCCCATTGTTTTTTTAATAATGGACGCTATTCGAGCGTTGCAGATAAATGTAAATGAGAAATTTTATGCATTTCATTTTCATTCCATAACGTGGCATGATCAAGTTCTAACAATTCTGATGACGCTAACGATACCGAAAGTTGTAACTATATAGGTTGTTCGCATTGCATGCTCTAGTATGCTCTAAAATGCTCCTACCATAGCATTTACTTACTCTAATGCGTTCGTTGAGGTGAGTAGAAGCTATAGCAAGAGCACATTGGAGCATGCTGGAACATGCAACGCAAACAAACCTTATGAGTTGCGTAGAGTCGAAAGATACAAGAGTGGTTCACTTGCACACTGTTGCAATTGCCCATTGCCAATCACAATTTCTCTATGGGGAGTTTTTTTATTTTTTTTATTTTTTCTAACGTTATATGATTGGCTTGTACACAATTGGCTCGTGTGTAATTAGGCAGACATATATATCCGAAAAGATACAATGAATTTCTTAAATCATCCGATATCTACATCTATAGACAGAGACACATAGCAGAATGGCATTTTGTATCAAGAATCTATTATGTATTTTTTTTTTATCATTTGCAGATGATGAAACGTTATCCATTACGCTGGCGTATATTTAAGAGGTTTTTGTTAACAGGTTTCCCAGCTGGTTTTGTTTTACGTTTGGCGCAGTTTTGCACGCAGCATACACGGTTTTCAAAGATCGATTTCACGACGTTTACATGAAGAAGTGGACTAAATTAAATTGGCGAAAACGACTGTTTTATCGAGCTTTACGAATCTTGTATACTTACACCTTTGGAGTGGCGTGTATCGCGCATTGGCGGGGTAGTTGGATCATCATCGATAATCATCTATTTGTGCACACATGGTAAGTCAACGTTGTGATAATGTTTCAGCAACATTTTCCATTTATCGCTATTAACAACTCTGATATCGAAATAGAGAAAATGGAGATTATTTGAATCGATATAATATAATATAACAGCAGGCAGTTTATTAATTATCATTTTACAATATTTCCCTATATATATATATATATATGTTGTATGTATACATACACATAGGATAACAACGTCTTTGACATGCTCGCTGCTGGTGTGCCTGGTGATTCTACGTTCTATTCGAAACTTGATAGCAACTCCATTGATAATTTTCATCGACATGCCTTCTTGCGTTTTTAAATTTCCCACTAGATACAATGTGGTAAGTTATAAATACATGGAATAATCTAGTTTAATTTCTTGTCCTCATTCTCAATAAGATTTACGCTATCTATATATATATGCGCGCGCGCGTGCACACACACACACACACACACACACACACACACACACACGCGCGCGCGCGCGCGCGCGCACGCACGCACGCACGCACGCACGCACGCACGCACGCACGCACGCACACACGCACGCGCGCACGCACACACATACGCGCGCGCACACACACATACACACACACACACATACACACACACACACACACACACACACTTATCTGCAAACACATATTTGTGATTTGTGACGTTTCAAGGATAATAGCAGTTATATAAACGCATTTATGCAAATAATATGTTTTTGTACTTATATACTTGCTTGTAAAAAAAGGCCAATATATATACGATTAAATTATTAATGAGTGCGTGCGTGGTTATTTAGAATTTAAATTATCGGAAATTCTTGTACATACGAATAAACGCTGTTCAAACTTAATTATTTCCGTCTTCCGCAATATAAAATAATCGATGCGATATAATCGCCGCAAATAATAATGTCGATAAACGTGCGAGTGGAATATTGGATTTTGTAGATCGTGTCGTGAATCTTCTACGGTGTTTTCTACAGTCGTCGAACTTTCTTGAATCTCGGCGCATTTATTGATTATGAAACTACACTACTAGACAGCACAAAATATTGAAAGATAATGAAAAGATGTCTTTTTGAAGCTATCTTCGAAAACGAAAAGATGCAGTACGTCTAAGTCTAAAATATAATAAAAAGGTATCATTTTTAGATATTCTTTTTAATAAGACGAAAAGATAATAAAGATCTATATAAGACATCTTTTAGTTTTGTCGAAAAGATAACTTAAAAAAGACATCTTTTCATTATCTTTTTATGCTGGTTGCCGTTTCGACAAAACGTAGAAAATCGACTAAAAGATATTTAATTTGGTATTATCAAAAAAAACAATAAAAAGATAGCTCTAAAAAAGATAGTTCTTTTCTTTATTTTATATAATTTTCATCATTCACCCGCGAGCAGTAAGCGAGATTGCCACCAGACGGACGCGGAATTTATTTCTCGTGTTTGAAAACCATACAAGAGGAGTAAAAGGTGCATTATGAGAAATTTTACCAGTGTTTTAATGAACACTGATAAAATTTTTTTTGAAAGTGAATCCTCAAAAGAGATTATAATGAAAGATAATATGATTCTTGATAATATGAAAGATACTATGATTCTTGCACACAGCGACACGGCAACATTGCAGAAATGGGATGTATATTGGCATGCAATATTTCATTTATTTAGTTCTATGTAAAAACTAATTCAGGGATGTTATTAAACCTAATGTTATATATGTGTTAAAATATAAAAACTAAAACACACAAGTCTTAAGGATGAAGAGAGTCTAAAATATCCTAAGATATCCTCAGAAGTCATTCTTTAATTATCATATGGATAAGGCTATAAAAATAACGATGCGACGTACATCTGCCTCTCTAAAAGATATATCTTTATAACAATTTAGGTATCTTTTAGACTTTGCTATGCTCTGGGCTATAATTCGATCTCTATAATGTCTCATGATGATCCAAGGAGTTGGTCGGAAGTTTCCATTTTAATTTTGAATCTTTGGCCTTATTTTCTTATATAATTTCGTAATTTTGATCTCTTACGCCATCACTTTGATGATTGTACGCGCATCGTAACAATCGCTTCTTTGATTACCACCTAAAGAGCCGCTCGACCCTGTACTCAATTGTCAAATGGTGTTTAACGATTGTACAGAACACAGAGTGGTATATACGTCCCGAGTATCCTTGTACATACTTGTCTAACTTAACTCTTCTAATTTTTATTTATGACTTACATGCAGAAAAACGTTTGTATTTGAGCTCGATCGCACTGTCGTGAAGTTAATCGATTTATACCGTATCACAAAAATTGTATATTGCTATGTTGTAGTTATATAACTTATAATCGTGTATCTATATAAACAATAATTGTTTCAATTCGAAAAGCGAAATCTTTCTCTCTCTCTCTCTCTCTCTCTCTCTCTCTCATATTTTCGATGTAAACATATATACATAACTGACATAACGTATGAAACTAACAACAGAATTGCTCGTTTGTTTTCTGCAGGTTGTAAAAAAGAATTCTTTTTCAAACGTTATCACAAGAGTCGTCTCGAGTGAAGCTGATGAAGATTTAGTTGTTTCCAACAGAGCGCATTATCGAATGTTTGCGTCAGGTTTGATGTAGATAGATATCGTATTAGGCTGATAAAATTATAGTTCATTTAATCATCGCGCACACAAATTATTGCGCAAACACACACACACACACACACACACACACACAC